ATGCTCACGAGAGCAGTAGTCCATTTCAGAAATGTCAGTGTCAGAGAACCCTCCACTAGGGGGGTTATTCCTTTCTCAGTTTGCTTTGGGTTTGCTTTTTCTGTTCTGTGCTGTTGGCACCTCGATGCCGTTTTTGTTTTGAGATAGCAGTGAAGGGAAAGACTGGCACTCTGAAGAACCATGAAGCCATCATTTGCAAACAGCACATCAAATGTTAAAAATCTTTTTTCGGATCCAGAAGGGACATAAAACAAATTTTTTCTCTCTTAATATGTGGGAATAATTAAATAGATTGAAATTAAGATAAGAGCTTTTTTGAAAATTCCCCCCCAGCGTACTTAAGGAAAGAGTTGAGGCAGTCTGTGAACCATGAGTAATTATCTCCAAGAACCTGGGGAGGATGGGTAAGATCCTGGATGGCTAAAGTAGAGCAGAAAAACATTTGTCTTTTAAAAGAAGAAAAATACAAACCCAGTGAATTATAGATTTTAAATTTTAAATTCTTGGCTGACACGGCGGCCTCTGGTGCTTGTTAGCAAGTATAGGGAGGTGAAGGATAATAAAAATTTATCTTTTTTTTCTTTTTTTTCTTTTTTATATTTTTTATTTTTAAATGCCCTGTGACTGTGCCATGTGAGGAGAGAGCTGGAGAAGCTACCAGGAGCTCAGGACTTCTGATGTTTGTTACTCACAGATATCTGTGTTCACTCTTGCTTTTGCCACAGGGAGGATACAGGGTCAGATGTCGCATATTCCCTCTCAGTCCCTTTCCGCCATGTTTTGCACCCTCGGGGAGAGGGTGAGAAGCTGCTCGGGTGCCATTCAAACTCTCATCCAGTGGCCTTGCTTTCTTTCCTGTAATGGAACAGCAAGACCAGTATATAATTTGTTTTCTTAAATCAGCAGCAAAGGAGGCCATAGTAGTTGTTTGTTCTCTGTTCAGATATAATTATAAAACTTTGCTTGTTTATTTCTGGCATATTTTTAACTAGGGAGTTATTTGAGTGATAATTTAGTTTTCTTTTTTTTAAACAAATCATGAGGAAGGCATCATACAAGTATTGAAGAGTTTTTCCCTTTCGCTAAAAAAAATAAAAAAAAAATCTTACCCCCAAATCGTTTTTCCATATGTGCATGAGCACAATGATGGATTAAGTGTTCATTTTGTTTTTTATGAATAACATGCACATTTCAGTATCTGTGTATTTTACTGGGTGCATGTGTAGACGTAGAAGCAGAAACACTCAGAAGACAAAAATAATAACAGTGAAAAGACCCCTAAGGCAAACAGCTTTAACCACCGGTATCTTAATAGCAGCTGGCCATCATTTGGGAAGACGCTGCTTCTGCTGGGACACTGACTTAGTGAGAACCAAAGGGGCTTGGACCCAAGATGCTGGGCCGACGGGATGGGGCGCTGGGGGTACCAGGACACCCTAAGGACACCCTTGACGGGCGGCCAGGAGAACGGAGGCTGCAAAAGGGCAGCGTGTTTTTCAGCTCAGAGGGGAAGGCTCTTGTAGAGCCCTGTAGAAAAAGGTTAAGGGCTATGATAAGGAAAAACACACAATTCTGCCCTTTGATCTATATCTTTCCTACGTGTGGATGATGATGTTTTTGTTGTGAAGAACTCTTTCTGAGGGCACGTTGGACAGTTTATTTATCACTTGTTCCCAGAGGATAAAGCATCAAATATGTTAGTGATGTTGCACTGAAATACTTGAGAAATAAAGGTGTTTCTAGGGTATTCAAAGCCAGCACGCTCAAACTGCATGGTTCTGCGCAAGCAGTGGCGAAAGCAGCCAGCACCATATACACAGGAACAAACTCAAGAGAAGTTCAGAGAGATCTAAGTACTGTTTGCCCTGTAACCTAAAAACTTTGTAAATGGGCTTGAATTACCACCGAGAGTGCTAGAATTTTGCTATTTAGTAGAGAGAAGACCATATTGTGTTTTCAGTGAATTGTGCAGAGGCTCAGCTCACTGCTGAAATATGATTCTTTAAAATAGTTGCTTATACGGCTTCTGATGTGAATGAGGCAGGTTTTATGATGCAGTGTTGTAGAAATGAACACATATCTTATTGTAGACACCATACAGTTATTCATGAATTTTATAGATTAAACATACTGTGAACTTACTAAACGGAAAATAAAAACTTCCTCCTTTTGTCAAATGTATTCAGAACCATTCATTTTCTAGTCTTGTGCTAGTGTCATGGTATACTTTGTTACGGAAAGCTGGAACTACTTATTTAATCTTTAATCTCATCCACACATGGGTGGATGTAGAAATTGATTGTGGCATGACATTCCTGTTAAGAAGTGTCTGAAATGAACATAAGATACCTTGAAATAAGTCTGATTGATATTTATAAGTATCTTGGGAACCCCTATGAGATGCAGACTTGAACTCCCTTAACACATGGTTCACTGAGGCCTGGCATATGTATGTATTGAGGTTGCTGCCTTACATTTCCAAGGTCTTTCTTATAGAATATTTGAACTTTCACTCGTTAATTAGATTTATGTGTACATGGAGACTACCGAACTCTCCAGTGCCCAATAGTCCACACATCTGGTCTAGTATATTGCTGTAGATGTCATATCCTTACACGTTCATGTCAAAAGTTAGACTACCCAAACAATTTAACAGACATAACATTCCTCTGAAAAGACTTGATTCTTTTAAATATTTTTTCCAAATGAAAATTTAACTATTCCCAGAGTTCAGTGGTTGGAATTCCAATTCCAGGCCTGTTTTGGAAGTGGCTGATTTTTATAAGGAATCAATCCACACCTCCATTCAGAAATTCCTTGTATCTATCTGAGGTATTTGTAATCAAAATCATATCCTAATGTGCTTTATAAACCACATATGTTTTAATTTAAATGCAAATTATAACAGGGTTAAACATGAAATGTTATGCATTTTTAAATATCTTAGCTAAAAAGACACATATATATATGTATGCACACACACACACACACACACACACACACACACAATGCTGTAAACGAGTAACTGATTTATGTATATAAACCAGAGTTACCATTGCTAGATAATGTAATTTCATAAAAGATTAATGATTGGCAATGCTATACAATCTATAAAATTGTGTTGGGTTACTGTGGGGTATTAGTTATCAGCGATTTCTCTCATTGTCAGCTCCAAGGGAAAGGATATTACAGCAGCAGTATTTGCAAGACTCCAAAATGCGTTGTTCTTCACAGCTTGCTAGCGCGCGGTCATTTATCTCAACTCAAACAAGCATGGTTTGTTTCCGTAGTGACGTTTTTGGAAAGGTTAGTGGATTATCAATGCTTTACTGTAGATGTACATGCCAAAGGGAAAGAAGTGCATGGGAAACTAATAAAAAAGGGAGTTAAATTCTTCTGTGAATTTTGTTATGAATTGTAAAAGGGCACAGCAGTCAAATCAAATTGATGTTTGACAGTCTTGGGAGATGTGAATTTTCCTGTGGGAAGGAACGCGAGCTGATTGTCAGAACTTCGGATACTGATGCACATACTAGAAATTTTGCTTTCTCTTTGGACTTTAATTTTTTTACTCTTCTATAGTCTTTGTGGGTTTTATTTATAGACCTTAGGGAAGACGGGAAAGAGAGACAAGGGGAACAGTCCATTGAGGCTTGGCATGTTGTTTACATACATACCAAACAAAAGAAATCCAAATATTCCAGGATATGGAAATGCAATAATTAACCCAAAATATCTCTCAGCAGTGACAGTATGCAATAACCATATTTTTACAATTAATGTGTTGTTGTAGCTATGTCCTGGATTACGTGATTTTTAAAGATTCATTAGGGTTGACTTTCTCCTTTGGGGATGCTCTAAGGGATTTTGAAGACTAAGCAATGTAATTTTGGTGAAGATATACATTTTCAGACATAGACGTTCAGTTCATGTTTGAAGCACAAAACTAAACTCAGAATTAACTAAGAACTGAATGATCTCTCTTGCAAATCTATGAAATGCCCTTTGCTGAAGTGCCTTGATATTTGTCCTTTCTGCTTCGTTTCCTTCGCTTTCTCTGAGAACCAATTTCACCATCCCAGTCTTGTACTCCTCTTCCAGCTCACACATCCAGCTTATCTGTGGAGTGCAGCTTTCGTATTGCCCCGGCACTTTATCCTGTAAACTGCTGTTGCACAGCAGCTCAGTGATTTTTCTAGTCTACCTTTCAGGTGGTTGAAAAGTCAATATATCTTCTATCCATATTCTGCTGATCTTTACTCCAATGATATACAGACCATTATTACTGAAAATATATTCCTGGTCACTGGTATGGATTAGGGATCTGTAGCATGGGAATTCTTCCCCCAGACTGAAGCCATATATCCTCATATATTTCACCATGTTTTTCTAGGGAACTTCAAGGAAGACCTGAGATCGGAGCCAGTGACTGTGTAAGGGGCCTAGGGTCCAGGCATAGATGTGAGATTTAAAGCCTATTCCATTTGAGGGATCTGTAAATATTGGCTGTGTGGCTGTCCGCGTGTGCATATCCCTGTGTGTATGCACCTTTGGCGCACGTGCTTGGGCTCACTGCTGGCTGGAGGTGCAGATGGGAGCGGCAGCAGTGGTGTCTATTGGACTGGGATGGGAGGAGCCTCCTGGGTCCAAGTACGCACTAAATTCAGCTCTGGCGGATCTAGAAGGAGGAATCCCCTGGGATAAGCTCACCAGACTCCACTCGTTTTAGCAAGTGGTACTAATGCAAACAGAAGAAAGTTACTCCTAAATCATAAGTCCTAAAATCTGAGGACATCCAAAACTAGGGCGCTATGAGTCGAAATCTGCTGTATTTGCAACTGTTTAGTAGGTAAGACTAAAATGTTTCACAAATGAGGCATTAAATGGTGCTGTATTTTTAACCCAGCGATGACTTTCTAATACCGTGGACTTTTATAGCTTACCTTATACTGTGAGTGCTGATTTCTGGATTCTAACTCTTGATCGCTTGCTCTCCCTAGGGGAAATGGAAGAGTTAGAAACGCTGTGGCTAACCGGTATTTGCCACAATGAGAAGAATGAAGTCATGAGCAGCCAACTGGACATTGACAACATGGCAGGAGTGTTTTACATGCTTGCGGCAGCCATGGCCCTTAGTTTAATAACCTTCGTCTGGGAGCACTTATTTTACTGGAAACTTAGATTCTGCTTTACTGGAGTCTGCTCAGATAGGCCGGGATTATTGTTCTCGATCAGCAGGGTTAGTATTACTTTCATTCACCCCCTTCAGGCAACAGATAATATAATCACTACCTCCCTGAAAACTTCTGTCTTTCCTCTTATCCCCATGGTAGACATTTAAAATGCTCATTTTTAACTTTGACAAAGTGATCGAGGGGTTTAGGATGCGCTTGCGCTCCATGGGAAGCCCTTTCTGGGTCATTCTAGGGTATGAATTAGCATATGATAGGATAATCAGTAGTCAAATACTGGAATCTAATATGTTTAGGGGAAAATTTTGATGAAGGAATGTTAGAGTTGTTCAGATATGGGAAATGGATTAAATACCATTTAAAAAAAAGAAAACAAAATAAGCACTGAATTGATGACAAGCATTAGCTCTTGGTTTTGTATATTTCTTAAACAAGTAGATTTTAAGTGAAAAAAGTACATTGGCGTATTTTTGACATAAGTTTTTCCTGACAACAAACTTCAATAAACCTTTTGAGAAAACACCAGCCACAAGTGTTATTCATATCTTTGGTTAGAGACTAAGCCAGTTTTTAATAACTTTACCAAATCCAAAGTGGCTTTACACACTCAAGTAACTGATACTTGTAGTAAAATCCGGGAAGCAGGTGCTTACTCTTATATTTTTGACAAATGAGATTTTTTTTCTTTTTCTTTTTCTAGTTTATAGCACTTTCATTAGCTAATCGGCTCTGTGGGATTTTTTGTACATGAGGTGAATTGAAAATCATACTAAAATGCCTATTGTTTAAAAATGTACTGAAATTATCCTCTTGAGTAAATTGGACTATATTGGAATTGCGTTAAAAGTACTCTGTCCTGTACTGTTGGAGACTCTCTACAAAAGCATGTATACTCTAACCTCCACATTTTGCATTTGAACTTTATGCTTTTGGCCTTTTACATTTGAAATTCTTGTAACCACTGTGGGGAAAAAAGTATGTATTTCAAAGGCAAATTTCTGAGAAATACAAATTCACGGGTTCTGAGACATCAGCTGAGCTCACAGGAGTGACTAAAGAGGTTGGAGTTACAAGACAGGCCTCAGCCTTTTGCTCAAAATGAACTCAATTTCAGGTTTTAGAAAGAGCTGGGTATTTCTATATATTCTAGGGCAGGAGACAGGAAAGCTGACATGCCGTGATGAGAAGCTTTTTTATTTCAGTGGAAGTGAAGAGTACCACTACTTCCAAGTAAATATCCTGACTGCAGGCTAGTTTAGAAAGATAATTTGAGCACTGGTCTAGAATAATAGTTTCCATTACTGAAGGTTAGTTACTTTTTGTGATGGGTCTAGGGGACCTTTTGAGGTCCCTTCCAATCTTGCTTTCTGGAATAAGCCTGGCAGTCCAACACAGACCACTGTTTTGTGAAAAACTGGCGATTTTTCTTTTTACGGTGCCAAGAGATATGGCAGATCTTTTCATTATACTTGTATGGAAGAATATGTTAAAAGGACAGATACGTACTTTTAATTTTTCCCCTCATCAGATAGCAATGTTTACTTTTTATTTATTGCTAATAATAAAATAGATTGAAAATATTTTAAATTTACAGCTAGTGATTTAATTTGTTTTACATTACTCCTATTACAGGGTATTTATAGCTGCATTCATGGAGTACACATCGAAGAAAAAAAGAAGTCTCCTGACTTTACTTTGACCAATTCCCAAACCAACATGTTAAAACTACTGCGAACAGCAAAAAATATGACTAATATTAATCCTTCAAGAATCAACTCCCCCAAAAGAACAGCTGATTTTATTCAGAGGGGTTCCTTGATTATGGACATGGTCATGGATAAGGGAAACTTGATATTTGCTGATAACAGATCCTTTCAAGCAAAGGACAACTTTTTTGGTGACAACATGAGTGAACTGCAAACGCTTCCTGGCAATCGACACAAGGACAATCTTAACAACTATGTTTTCCAAGGTCAGCATCCTCTCACACTGAATGAGTCAAATCCAAACACAGTAGAAGTTGCAGTAACAGCAGAAGCAAAAGGGAACTCCAGACCCAGGCAGCTTTGGAGGAAATCTGTTGAATCTTTACGTCAAGAATCTGTACGTCAGAGCCAAGGTTCCCAAAGAGAAAATGGGTCAGAGGAAAACAGGCAGCTTTCGTTGAAAAGTCAAAGATACCTTCCTGAAGAGATTGTCCATTCAGATGTGTCAGAGACATCAAGCCGAGCCACTTGCCATATGGAACCTGAAAACAACAACAAGCACCACAAAACTAAGGACAACTTTAAAAAAAGGACAGTGGCATCAAAATACCCAAAAGACTGTAGTGAAGTGGAACTGACATATCTGAAAACCAAGCAAAGCTCTCCACGGGATAAAATCTACACAATTGATGCTGACAAGGAGCCAGGATTCCGCTTGGATGCCCCGCCGTACATTGAAAACATCGTCCTTCCCGAAACTATTGAATTTCCTGATGTTTACCAAGATCACAATGACAACTACAGGAAAGCAGAACATATTAACAGGACTCCCATGCATAACGAAGACAGTCTTCCAAATAATGACCAGTATAAACTTTATTCAAAGCACTACACCTTAAAAGATAAAAATGCTTCCCTAGTTGATATGAATGATAGATACAGGCAGAATTCCACCCATTGTAGGAGCTGCCTTTCCAATTTGCCCACTTATGCGGGACACTATACAAGCAGATCTCCCTATAAATGTGATGCATGCTTGCGGACGGGGAACCTCTATGATATTGATGAAGATCAGATGCTGCAGGAAACAACAAACTTATCACTTCCTGAAGAAATATATGAACACAGTTGGGCACAGAATAATGCTCTGCAATATCATAAAAAAAATAAGCTGAGGATTAGCAGGCAACATTCTTTCGATAATATCCCTGATAAGTCCAGGGAAATTGATATCGGAAGACCTGCTCGTAGTATAAGCTTGAAAGAAAAAGAGAAGTTTCTAGAAAGTAGCCCTTATGCAAACATGTTTAGTGTTCCCTCAAGCAAACTGTTGAGCAACAAGGCCTCACTTTTAACTCATGCTCTAGAGGACAGTAAGCGGAGCAAGTCCCTGTATCCTGATCACTCCACAGATAATCCCTTCCTGCACTCGTATCGTGATGACCAGCACTTATCTCTTAGGCGAAGTCCAGTTGATCTTTATAAACACTCATTACCATCAAGAGGAAGAAACGATAATTATTTAAGGTCCTCTATAAAATCTACAGCATCATACTGTTCCAGAGATGGTCGAATCCATGACATGTACATTTCAGAGCATGGTTTGCCTTATGTTGCAAATAAGAATAGCGTGTACTCAACTCCCAGGGTTTTAAATTCCTGTAGCAATAGACGTGTGTATAAGAAAATGCCTAGCATTGAATCAGATGTTTAAATTTTCCATGAATACTTTATCTATAGGGAAAAATAGTTGCCACCATCTTAGAGGGAGAATTTACCCTTTAACAGTATCCTGCTATGGTAAATGATATGTAAACCTCTCCCTTTCCCAGTGTACTTTTGTACATGAATAGGTAAACTAGTATGCTCATAACCATCCTTTTAAAATATGTCATGTTAAAAAGGAGAAAAAATAGCCATTTATGTATGCTTTATATATAAATGGCAAGCTATACTGAAATAGCCCAATATATGTTGGCAACTATGTTGTTTTGTATCTAATTATTTTACTATTTTGGTTATTCTAATTTATGTTGCTAAGTATCATTCAATGTATTTTTGTCCTTAGAAATGTTTAGTATTTTTCTAATACCGAATAAGCAATATGGCATGCACGTAGTATGACACAGACAAAAAAGAATTAGGAATGCATTTGCACAGTTACAAAAGTCAGACTCTAAAAGAGAACAGAGATCTAGATTTTCAAAAATATATTTTAGCTTCATAACCATTTTCAAACAGTCAGAACAACTACAAAACCCCCAAACCCTAATAAATAAAAACCAATGTGTTAGCACAAAAGTAGAATGTTTATTATAGACTGACAGAAAATAAATGGGAAGACTAAAGGCCCCAAAATGTGAACTTTTGTGTGCCAAAAGGAAGCCCCCTGGGTATTGGTTAATGTTGATGTACAAATGCTTTCATTGTCTTTCACATGCACTTACCATTACAAACTAAGGTAATTACAAAGTCTGTAGTCGTCTTGTCAAAAATTTCACAGCTACCTAACCAGGAGTATACATTTTTAGCTATCAGTATATAGCCCTTAAAGCTATGGAGCTGTGGATTCATTAGTAACCTTGAGGCCTAACATATATGTAAGTTTGCATTTGCCCCTTACAGATGATTACTCAGGGCTGTATAGTATTTCTTTTATTCCTTTGCTTCCAAAACCAAATCCCAACCTCCTATAGTCCTTTGTTGATAAGTGCATAAGTGGTGACAACTAGTTAATTGTATGTTTAATAATATTAAAGTTGTTAACATGGGGTCAAACAGCCACAGCCATATGTTCAATGTAATCAGTAAGGAATGCAACACCATTTCTCTGCATACACAGTGAAGGATTAACACCTTTTGAGGGACTTCTTCCTTCTCAAATATCATGATATGCATCAGGAAAGTTTTAAAAACTCTCTAATTAAATCTGCCATATAAATTGAATATATGCACACACAGTGAGGTATAGAAAACTAAGGAACAGCATCTTTGTCATCATTCATACAGCGCTAGTGCACAAAGATGTTACATAACAGGGATGCATTCTTATCCAGGCTTTATTTCTGATAAAGACCACTCAGATTATTTCACGAATAAAATCTATGCTACAACCTACCCTCCCCGCCCCAAATGCCAAAGTCCACTAGCTTTTAACCGTAAGGTAGGGTGGAAGGGAAAAGAGAAAGTCTTTCATAAATAGACTGTACAATTGTAATTTAATTTAAACTAAAGTACTAATATATTTTAATACTAAAAGCATTCAACAGGTCATGCTCTCCCATTCTCCTGCTATTCTGAGAATTGCTCTAGTATTTTTTGTGAAGGGGAAGTTTAGATTATTCAAGCCTTATTTCCTTAAATTTCACTGAAGAGTTGAGGATTTTAATAGGAAAACCACTACCACTATGGTTTGAAAAATGTGAATATTACCCTAACTTTTCTCAAACTAAAACTCTCTTCCATAAGATCATATTTATGTCTGCTGTAATCATAGCATCTGCATGACAGAGGTACAATATGCACATTTTTAATAGTTTGGAATAACATACTTCCGAGGAGAGTTGTAGATGGAAGATAATATAGATAATAGACAGGGATAGACAAAATATAGCTTCTTGAATTTTTATTTATAATTCTTTTATTAACAGATTTGAGCTGACTTTAACTACTGAACTGTCCATAATGAGTTCTTGCTATTTGCAGATGTATTTGTGCATTCACCATGATGGTGAAGGATGATGTTTTCTAAGGAATGAAATGGAAAGGAATTTGGACCTTCCAATCCCTTAATCAGCTTTTCAGCTCATTATACTTTATTATAATCATGCATGTTCAGAAAGCTTATCTGTGGGCATCTGCAAGCTGTCCAGAGCAAGTATCTTTTGATTATTCTTTATTCAGTATTTGGCATCTCTTTTTGGCCCTGATTCACGTGGTATGATTTCCACACCCTCGCTGGAGCTCATTACGGACAGCAGATATTGCCGGCCCTTGCAGAGATCCCCGTCTCTCAGGAAGAGTTGCATGAGCTAAGCAGGACTAGGACGTTTATGCTCATCTGCTTTTAGCCACTGCCAGCTTTTCTGATCTGTTAGACTGCCTCAGTTACCTGCTGACTTTCTGTTTGCTCTTAAAGAAGGCAACAAGTTTAATTCACTTTTCATAGATGCTGTTAGTGATGGACGTTCTGGTAGGCCATATAGCAGGAAAACCACACTTGAAGCACTTGCAGCATGTCAGACACGTGTACCGATTACTAAGCTTTAATTTCTTGGCACAGTTCAGACGTTTGTCTGCCTGCTCCAGGGTTGGGAAGTTGAGGGTATCTGGTGAAAGGACCATTCTGCTTTTTGAGTGTCCTGTGGTGTCCCTGCACTGTCTAGACTGCTGCTCCTTGTGACCATTCAGGAGGGTCTTTAAAACTCTGCCTAAATTCACTTGTCTCCTGAAGCCTTCCAGGACTTTCACTCCCAGCACCCAGACTCAGGGCAATAGATGGCTGGATGAAGGCTACTTTTCATGAGCAAAACCCTTTCCCAAAGACAGATGTATGTTACTTGTCTTAGGTTTACAGGAAAGCAAATGTACTAAAGGCATAAATACTGTTGTAATGAGTTCCATAAATATATCCGAGGCAAATTTCATTTCCAATCCAAAGCACAATATATAAAGTAAAACCTGAGTATTTTGAACAAGCTGGTGTGTTTCAGCAGATATGGTATCTACTGATACCATACCAAGAACTGACATGCAAGTTGCTGACAATTTTAGTACCAAGTGAATCATAAAACTCAGCTGTGGCTCTTCTCTTTCACATGATTTTAAAGCTCTCAGAATATTGTCTGGTCACTCCCAAGTCTTTTGTATCATCAGCGCTATCAGCAACTAGGCACACATATATCATAAGTACTGCATACAAAATGTGGGAAACAAAAATTCCCATTTACAACATTTTCTAAGTAAACTGCTGAGATCTAAATATTCTAAAACCAGGTGGATTTATCCGTCTGTGAACTAGACAAACAAATTAGCTTCTAAAGAAATATATTGCAGCGTTTGCTGTTTCTGATCTGAGCAGATTTCTGGTGACTATAGAGATTTATCATTAGATGCAAATGTGCAACACAAAAAAAAAAAAAAAACCCAAACCAAAGCAAATTAGAGACAGACTCAGTAATGCACAGCAGTTGTTCACATGGGAATGAAAAATACTGCCTTAGAGGGAAAAAAACACAGAGACTAAACGTAGAAGGAGTAAGAATCTGCATGCATTTGTGGTTTTGATCTTGGCATATGCTATGACTGAATAAAGGGGGAAGAAAAGGCTAAAATGTAGGGTTATAGATGATGTGGTTGCTGAAACATGTAAAGAAGAAGAAACTGAGAGGTTGAAGAAAAGTCTTCAACAGTAGAGCCGCAAGCCACAGCTTGTGATGCTCAGCCGTAGAGCGTATGGAGTTCTGAATATTGCCTGAGCACTGTTGATATATTTGCACTGACTTTCAATGAATCCGAGATCAAGACTTTCTGTATTTCCCTCTCTCTCACTCCAGCTGCTGCTATTCTTGAAGAGGAGAAAAGAATCTTCCTGCCTAAGTGGCCATCCTTTCTGTACCTTTCTGGATGGTGCTGGGGACTTGTTACATTTTCCTGATTACAGCTCTAGCAGTTTGTTGGTCATTCCTATCACCAAGATTTCCCGTGACTCCAGCTGGAACTGGATCAGGCTGTAAATGATATGGGCCAGTGTTGCTAGCATGTCCTGCAGTGTTGCACTGCTCCTGGATGACACCTTTTGTGGAGGCAGGATATTGAATGGCTGAGGAATGGAATAGGTACACGGAGGTAAAAACAGCTACATAGACATACCTGCCTCTTGCTTTTTTTCCTCTTTTAAAGACATTGTAGAATTTCTTCGTGTTTTTGTCTTTCTCTTTTTGCCACAGCAAATTTTCCTTTTTCCTTTCAAATGGATTTTGTGTTCTGCTTGTGTTCTTAGAGCAGTGTAGCCACCCATTAACTTAAACGCATGGAAATAAGGTAGTTTAATATATAAGATAAAATTAAGGAAAATAGGTTTTTTTTGTATTTGTGGAAAATTTCATTTAATGTTTTGACAGCTTTTGCTCAGAATTCATTATTCTCCTATTTAAGAAGCTCTGAAAGGAAAAAGAGTGCTTTGGAGATACTGAAACCAAATCACCTTCTGCTCACCATGTTTTGGTATCATCTCATAAATACATGTCTCGTTCTCTGTGATCTTTCAGGAAGACTTATGAGGTGAAATAAGACTCAGAACAAAGCTAAGGGAAGTCAGAAGTGCTTTTTTCCTGGTGAAAATTAATCATTTGAAATAGTTTTAAAGGTAGTAAAAGCTAGACCTGTGTAGCTTTGAGTTTTGATGCTTGGAAGACTAGGCTGTTTCTTTTGCCAATGGAGAGAGAGAGAGAAAGCCACCTCCTGATGGCAGTTCAGAGCACCAAAGGCTTGGAAGTAGTTAAATTTCTAATATGTCCTGAAAACATTTACCTCTCTCTGTTCATGTTTTAGAAAGCGTAGGCTTCTCCTAACTTAAACATCTCAGTTAGGTTTGCTTAGTAAAGAAATGGTTTATTTACCCCCCGCCCCAACACCTGCTAGTCGAGCCTGCAAGGGAGAACCTGCCTAACCTTGCAGGTGCCCGTCGGCCCCTGCGCTTAGGGAAGCAGCTGCTGCGGCAGCGCCTGTCTGCTGTGGCTTTGGCAGTCCCACCGCCTGGGCGGTCTTGTTGTTTCCCATTGTTTCCCACTGTTTTCTTTGTACCATGTGACTGTCCAGCGTGAAGTACAGGTGTCAGAATCTGTTGCATGCAGAATAACTCCCTATTATTGTATACCGACAGGGCAGCACATGCGTCTTACAGCACGGTGATGGGGAAGATTTTGCTGTTATTCCTGCTCTCGCTCGGTTCGTCAGCGTAGAGCAGGGCTTGTGATGTGAAACCAAGGGTCTAAGAGTCAGCTAAGATTTAGGAAGTACTGAGGAGGTTAATCTTTTTGTTGTTTTACATTTACCGTATTTGATATGTCAAACTTGCAGAAAACAGAACTTTTTATGGAAAAGTCCTCTATTAGTTAACATAGAACCCGGGGCTCGAATAGACTGCGTTAAACGTTGATCGGCGTGTGCTCCTGTCGAGATGAGGAGCGTCATGTATTCCCTGCTAAACCTTCCCTTTCCCAGCTCTAGTTCTGTCGTAGCTCAAAAGTCTTTTTAAAGTAGTTGTCTTTCCTGTATAGGGCAATCTGGTTTGCAATGTGAAAACAGTGTCCTGGTTATATACATAATTTGGTTTACTGATATTAATTTTCTAATGTTAACTTCCTTTCTGTTGAGAGCTGAGCCTCAAAGCATAACAGTGCTGAAGGAACTTCTGAAAGCGCATAAAGGCCCTCTGAAGTACAAATTTTATAACATGAGCCATGGTCAAGTTAGCCTATACCATCTTATTTAAATATATTAGTAAAATATTAGTATTTCTTGTCAATAGGAGGGAGCATAAAGTAATCCCAGCTGTGTTCAGAAAGGGAGAGAAATGCACGTCCAGGCAGCGGCGCGGCGGGGCGCGGGCCAGGCTCAGCCCGCGGCCGGCGACGCTGCAGCCAGGGCCAGCGAGAGCCGCCCCGCGCCTGTCATGTCTCTTGCATCGCTTCGGTTCTGCAAACTCGCCAGTCTGATGTGGGCGTTTTGTACATAGTGTAAAGTTACTGTTGGTGTGTAGCCTCCATTGTGGAGTTAATCCCATCTTCACCCGTTCACCTTCACTGCAGTGTTGTGGCTGGGGGGGGGGGCGGCCGGGGGGGCTGTCTGTGGTCCCCCGGTAAGTGGGAGCAGAGATGCTGCCTCACTTCTCTCTGCCCTGCGCTGGCGGGGCATGCTGCACTGTTTGTAAATAAGATCCTCAGATGTTTCACCTCAACCAAGCTTTTACCGTTTTCATCCTGCCCCGGTGCACAGAGCATGCTCTCCACGAGTCCGCGCTGGTCCCGTGCCGTGCGCTTTGAAGGTCCGGATTACAATGCGCATCGCCCTGCAAGGCAGAGAAAACGCGCTTGGTCGTTCTTGCAGGTTCAGGAGCTTTTTTTTGTTATATACTGTAGGATGTATCTGCAGTGGTTTAAGTTGCTTTTAAAATGAATGCCAGTCTCACCAGCTGTAAGCATCCATTGCCGATCATGTGCTGATCTTGTCATATCTATAATTTAAGAGCCAGAAGTAATATAAGTAATATTAAGTTAGTTCACTGCTTACCGGATTTTTGTTGCTGTTTTGCATCTGAACGACACTTTTTACTCCTTTTGCTTAGTTCTTTACCTGTATTGAAAACAAGGCTAAATTAATAGAGAATATAACCATGCTGTAATGTTGTCATGCAATACCTTTATTAGTAGATAACCACACTAAATATAGCATTGTATATTTAAAAAGAGAGATGGTTTTGACTCTCCAACTCTTAAAAAAGTAGTGGTGATAAGCAGTTATACTCCTAGATGTTTTGTCCTTTCCCTTTTGTATTAGTATTTGTTTTCACTAATATATTTCAGAAATTATATTTCTATGTGCACGTTATAAAACTGTGACAATAAATACCAATAAATATTGTGAAACGAATACAGTGCACTGTAAAGTTCCAAGTGAAATTATACTTTCCTTGGGAATTGCTGAAAGTTTCCTCACTTCTCATAAATGGTACTAAGCTTTAATGTGGGCAAACGATATTATTTACAGTGACATGAAATTTTAATGGAGACTGTCTTGCTTTGCACTTCTGGGACTATTAGAAGAAATGATATGTTTTTCTCAGCAAATGCATTATGAGAATACTTTTTTAAATTTAAGTATTATACTTCGCAGTACATGAGAAAAGCCTTTTTTAAAGAGATTTGTGTTACATCATCACTTACAGGATTCTTTAGTCTGATAATTCTTACTGAACCCGTTTAAAAATGGTTTTAATGGCAAAAACAGTTTGGAAGTATATTTTGGTTTGTGTTTCTAAGACAAATTGCAAAACTTGTACATGGAATTGTGTTTATGCCAGTGACAGCCCTCATTAGGTTCCTGTGCCTTCCTGTGTTACCTGGGAAGGAGAGTTTTCTTGCTCACTGGTGGGACAAGGTTAGAGGAGTCTTGAGAAAATTTTTGGAGGATGCATTATGCAACATTTGAAGTGTAAATGATCTTCAAAAGTGAAAAAAAAGAAGCAAAATTGGAGGTTCCCAAGTATACATATTGGCGGATGGTCTGTGACAGTCACTGGGACGTGCGGTTTCCAGAGCAAATGATAATTGTTAACTGAGGTGATCTGATTTCTACCTGAGTTTGTAAATTGCTGAAAAAACGGGAGTTCTGTCTTTTTTGTTTTTTTTAAAGCCAAAGTCTTTATGTTGTCATACAAGGTTTCACAGGAAAATGGGCCAAAGAATATGATTACATATGCAAAAGGTTAATCCTATGGAAAAGGATATCCTGTCATCTTGATATGCACAAGCATATTAATGGTAATAGGAACAATAAGTGTAATTTTCCTGTATATTGCTATGTAGGTTGCACTATTTTGAATGATACAAGCCTGATATTTTAATTACCAAATACCATAAGAAGCTGTTTATTAGCAGTTTAAACTTGTTAACCTAAATATATATACAGTATACACACGCATGCGTGCATACTTCCCAACCTAGTCATGTGTGAGTAATCTCCCACGGCCATGGGACACGTTTCAGCGGTGCTTTATTTCAAATGATTCTGTCCTCTCCACTCCAAACTTCCTAAATCCACCAATACTCCAGCAGCATTTATCTTAGTGTCTGTAGAGCTGGGACATGTAAAAACAAAGAGGAGAGTTCCTGTCTGAAAGAGCTGGAACTGATACTTACTATAAGTAACAAAGCCATAGGAAAAGGATGTCTTCTCATACTGATAAAAAGATTCATAGCCAGAGAGAGTCTATTGGCCTAAATATTCCAACTTTAAAAGTCTGCGACAGCTTACATGACCCCAAACCTGGTCATTAACCACTGATACTTAAGGTAGCTAAGGACAGCTATTTAAAAAACAAAAATTCTCCAGAAAAATTCTCTAAGTTCCAGTTGTGTCTGCA